ACAATGGTATGAAACTAGAAATCAATTACAAGAAGAAAACTGGAAAAAATACAAACACAAGGAGGCTAAACAACATGCTATTAAACAACCAATGGTTCAGTGAAGAAGTCAAAGGGGAAATAAAAAAATACCTTGAGACAAATGAAAATGGAAACACAAGGGTCCAAAATCTATGGGACACAGCAAAATCAGTTCTAAGAGGGAAGTTTATAGTGATAAAGGCCTATCTCAAGAAACAAGAAAAATCTCAAATAAACAATCTAACTTTTACACCTAAAGGAACTACAAAAAGAAGAACAATTAAAGCCCAAAGTTAGCAGGAGGAAGGAAATGATAAAGAACAGAGTGGAGATAAATGAAATAGAGACAAAAAAAAAAAAAAGAGAGAGAGAGAGAAAGAAAAAGAAAAGATCAATGAAACTAAGAGCTGGTTCTTTGAAAAGATAAATAAAATTGATAAACCTTTAGCCAGACTCATCAAGAAAAAAGAGAGAAGGCTCAAATAAATAAAATCAGAAATGAAAGAGAAGTTACAACCAACACCACCGAAATACAGAGGATCATAAGGGATTACTATGAACAATTATATGTCAACAAATTCGACAACCTAGAAGAAACGGATAAACTCCCAGAAACATACAATCTTCCAAGACTGAATCAGGAAGAAATAGAAGATCTGAATAGACCATTACTAGTAATGAAATTTAATCAGTAATCAAAAAACTTCTAACAAACAAAAAAGTTCAGGACCAGTTGGCTTCACAGTTGAATTCTACCAAACATTTAAAGAAGAGTTAATACCTATCCTTCTCAAACTAGTCCAAAAAATTGAAGAGGAAAGATTGCTCTCAAACTCATTCTATAAGGTTAGCACACCCTGATATGAAAACTAGACAAAGACATAACAAAAAAAAGAATTAGAGGACAATATTCCTGATGAACCTAGATGCAAAAATCCTCAACAAAATATTAGCAAATGGAATTCAACAACACATTAAAAGTATCATACACCATGATCAAGTGGTATTTATTCCAGAGATACAAGGATGGTTCCATACATGCAAATCAAACAACATGATATACCACACTAACAAAATGAAGGATAAAAATCATATGATCATCTCAATAGACACAGAGACAGCATTTGATAAGATTTAGCACACATTTTTTATAAAAACTCTCAAAAGATGGGTATAGAGGGAACATACATCAACATAATAAAGGCCATATATAACAAACCAACAACTAACATCATACTCAATGGTGAAAAGCTGAAAGCTTTTCCTCTAAGATCAGGAACAAGACAAGGATACCCACTCTCTTGCCACATTTATTCAACATAGTGTTGGAAGTCCTAGCTTCAGCAATCAGAGAAGAAAAAGAAGTAAAAGCCATCCAAATTGGAAAGGAAGAAGTAAAACTGTCACTATTTGCAGATGACAAGATACTATATATAGAAAACTCTAAAGATTCCACCAAAAAACTATTAGAACCAATACATGAATTCAGTAAAGTTGCAGGATACAAAATAAATATACAGAAATCAGTTTCATTTCTATACAGTAACAAGGAACTATCAGAAAGAGAAATTAAGAAAACAATCCCATTTACAATTACATCAAACAGAATAAAATACCTAGGGACAAACTTAACCATGAAGGTGAAAGACCTGTATAATCAAAGTTATAAGACACTGGTGAAAGAAATTGAAGATGACACAAATAAATGGAAAGATACACCACGCTCATGGATTGAAGAATTAATATTGTTAAAATGTCCATACTACCCAAAGCAATCTACAGATTCAATGCAACCTCTATTAAAATACCAATGGCATTTTCCACAGAACTAGGACAAATCATTTTGAAATTTGTATGGAACCACAAAAGACTCTGAATAGCCAAAGCAATCTTGAGAAAGAACAACAAAGCTGGAGATATCATGCTCCATGATTTCAAACTATTTTACAAAGCTGTAGTAATCAAAACAGTATGGTGTTGGCACAAAAACAGACACGTAGATTAATGGAACTGAATAAAGAGCCCTGAAATAAACCCACACTTACAAGATCAATTACTTTATGACAAAGGAGAATATACAATGGAGAAAAGACAATCTCTTCAATAAATGGTGTTGGGAAAACTGGGCAGATACATGCAAAGAATGAAACTGGACCACTTTCTTACACTATATACAAAAATAAACTCAAAGTGGATTAAAGATTTAAATGTAAGATCTGAAACCATAAAACTCTTAGAAGAAAACAGAAGTAGTAAACTCTTTGACATTGGTCTTAGCAATATTTTTTTGGATATCTCCACAGGCAAGGGCGACAAAAGCAAAAACAAACAAATGGAACTACATCAAACTAAAAAGGTTTTGCACAGTGATGGAAACCATCAACAAAACAAAAAGGCAGCCTACTGAAGAGGAGAATATATTTGGAAATGATATATCCCATAAGGGGTTAATATCCAAAATATATGAAAAACTCATAACTCAACATCCAAAAAACCAATCTGATTAAAAAATGGGCAGAAGACCTGAATAGATATTTTTTCAAAGAAGACACAGACGGCCAACAGATACATGAAAAGATGCTCAACATCACTAATCATCAGGGAAATGAATATCAAAACCTCACACCGGCCAGAATGGCTATTATCAAAAAGACAATAAATAACAAGTGTTGGCGAGGATGTGGAGAAAAGGGAACCTCATGCACTGTTAGTTGGAATGTCAGTTGGTGCAACCACTAAGGAAAACAGTATGGAGTTTCCTCAAAAAATTAAAAATAGAACTACCATATGATCCAGCAATTCCACTTCTGGGTATTTACCCAAAGAAAATGAAAACACTAATTTGAAAATATATATGCAGTCTTACGTTCATCATAGCACAACAGGCAAGATATGGAAGGAACATAGGTGTCCATCAATGGATAAATGGATAAAGAAGACATGGCATATGTATAAATACAATGGAATATTACTCAGGCATAAAAAGAATGAAATCCTGACATTTGTGACAACGTGGATGGACCTATGGGGTATTATGCTAAGTGAAATAAGTCAGAGAAAGAATACTGTATAATTTCACTTATATGTGGAATCTAAAAAAAATAAAACAAATGAACAAACGAAACAGAAATAGAATGGATACAGAGAACAAACTGGTGGTTGCCAGAGGGGAGAGGGTTGGGAGGGAAGGGAGAAATAGGTGAGGGGATAAAGAGGTACAAACTTCCAGTTATAAAATAATAAATCATCAGGATGTAATGTACAGCATAAGGAATATGGTCAGTAATATTTCAATAACTTTGTATGGTGACAGATGGTAACTAGTCTTATCAGAGTGATCATTTCATAATGTAGATAAATGTCGAATCACTATGTTGTACACCAGAAACTAATACAACATTGTATGTCAACTATGCTTCAATTAAAAAAAAAAAAAAGAATGTGGATTGTGGAACTGCAGTGCCTGGATCCAAATTCTTGCTCAGTGGCTCACTGGTTGTATGACCTCGGACAAATTATCTAATGACCTCTCTGTGCCTCAAATTCCATAGCTGTAAGTAGAAACTACCGCATAAGAAGAGCTTATTGTAAACTGCGTAGGTCAGCACTTAATAAATCCTAGATGTTCTTCTTTTACCAATATCTGTGATCAGCTACAGGAAGACATGAAGGGCATCACTGATACTATTTCTACAATATCCTCAGTGAATCTGAATTTCACTGATACTCATTCAGGTACTAGAAATTTATGAGGGAGCTTGAAGAAATTGAGGGCTTACTGATTTACCAAATGACACTTTTCAGTGCTATCGATTTATAAATGCCTCACTAAAATGAAAAAGGTAAATCTAGCACAATGATCAATTTAAAAGAAAAGTCAATTTAAATATGGCTATAAAAGAAAAGTAGTTTAATACAATGATCAAACCATCCAAAGTGGTACATATAATCTGCCATGATTCCTAAAAAGTAATGACAGAATTTTTTTTAAATCCAATTTTTAGAAGCTACATAATATATTCAAGTTCCTCTTCATAATTTAGTACAAATTAAAACTTCTACTTGAAAATCTGTACCAGCTGTACCACATATATTAATATGGTACTTTCTTTCCAGCAATTACTATTTATCAATACAGTCCTAAGGCAATGCATGTATCTATATGCAACAATTACAGAAGTTTCCTTACAAAACAATTATCCTAATATCTTAGACCAATTTAAAGAAATTAATTTAATTTTAAGAAATTAAACCAATTTGTTAGAATAGGTAAGCAAAGGCAATTCCTTTTAGATTCCCTGCCATCTTCTCTTTCATTTATTCATTCATCCAACACCTGCTACGTGCCAGGGCAATGAACGAATCAGAGATGCTTACCATTGTGCGTCCCATCCAACAGGAAATAGACTTTAGACCAGTTAACACAAACAGATGTTCAGATTAGTTATAAGGACCATGAGATAAGATAAATTTTTTAAAAATTTCATTGCCAGCCCTTTTTGATAAGGCAGTATTTCAGCTAAACCTGAAAGATGGAAGGTGCCAGCATGTGAAGACTGAAAAAAAGAAGTTTCAGCCAGACAGAAACAGCTAGAAAGACCCAGTTGGTTAATGGAAATGAAAGCCCATTTCAGGCTGATTCTTATTTCTTTAATGCCCTGAGCCATGACATTGTCATGGCTATTCCTGCTGGCCATCTTAAGAAAATGACAGCACAACCAGAGGCACTCACAACTAGAATCTACAACTATGTACTGGGAGCTTTGGGGAGAAGAATCAAAAAAAAGAAAAAAGAAAATGACAGTACCATTACTAGGTCACCTTTCCTGCTCTGCTCTTTCTCCACAGCACTCAGTACCTTCTAACACACCGCAGAGTATACTGATTTATTACGTTTACTCCTCCCCTCTCCTCAAGTGTAAGCTCCTGGAGGACACCCCTATGTGCCTAGGTCAGTTTCTGGCACATTGCAAGTGCTCAATAACTATTTACTAAATGACTGGGTGAATTTCTATCCCCACAGATGGGCCCATGAGGAGCTGTCCCGCAAACAGGAGACCCTCAGAAGTGGAAGTGCCTTGCAAGTCCTTAAAGGGCAGAGAGCTTAACAAACATTTAACTTAATGAGGTAAGGGGATCTGACTACCATCCCCTAGAATGAACTGTTCTAGCTTTTATAAAATGGCACCAGGTAACACAAGGTTTCTTAACACTGATCTAAATTAAAATTTCCCAAAGGAAATTTTCAAAAAAGTACCTTTCATCTTGTTCTTTACAGTGTTCTCCTAATTTCTAATTACTCATCCTAGCCAGTTTTCACTGCATTTCTAGACTGCTCAAAAGCCTTCCCCATGGCTTACTGAGTTAAGTACAAACTTTCTTCCACTTGTTCACATTCTCAGATTATACCACCCTGGCTATCATCTGCCAGGCGCCATGCCACACCCTCATTTTTCACAGCCGTCTCCATACTGTGCTAGCGCCCAGCCTCTCCTCCACTTCACTCCTCAACATCATTCTTAGCTGAGCATCTAGTTCTAATAGTCACTCCCCAACACCTGACCCCCAGTTCTTCTGCTTAAAAGGCTTTCAGAACGAAATCAATTTCCCTTCAAGGCGACATGTTCATCACTCACTTTGAAGATTACAGATAGGCAGCTCTTCATGTGCTACACAAAATGCATTTGACATGGAATTTATTTTTAATTTTTAATCCAACATGTATGGATTTAAAGTGTTACACCTAGAATATTTGTGGCCTAAATTTGCAGTGCCCAAAATTTTATACCACAAAGCACAAGACGATGGTTCTGACAAGATATTATGGACTGTGAGTTGTTTGGGTAACAAATAGGGATAACTTGAGAATGGAGAATAATGTGTCTAATATCTGTAACTTTCAGGTAAAGCTTATTTCTTTGCATCAGGCTTAAGAGAAATGGCATAGCCTTCTGTATGACTCTTGTAGGTGATATAAGATAAAAACCTATCCTAAGATTCTGTCTTGTCAAGAACCTTAAGGAGTAATGGCCAGAGTAAACATTCATATTGAAATTCCGGCTTCACAGTTCCTTAACTCCAAAGAGATTTTCACCTCCATGCTACCATAGTCACTCAGAAACACCTTGGTATCATGAGGAATGGTTCTACTCTCTGTCTCAACCTTTAAAACTGCAGACTCTGCCCATAACCTCCTATCCTTTTACCGCCATTGTCATTGGAATTGCCGTATACATCCACTTGTTCAATGCTTGGCTTTACTCGCCTCCTCATCCACCTTGGATCCCACGATCAGCCCTTCCACCACTATCCTCTCAAGAGCACACACATATTCTGAACGTCTCCCTCTCCCAACATCCCATCACTCCTGCCTTGCCATCCTCCAGTCTCTGCTCTCTGTACAGATTGGTGAAGGTAGAAAAAAAAGTCATGTAAATGCCCCCAGTAGCTCTATTTTAGTATTCGTCTCACGTAATCTCAGGTGCTCTCTTACTGATACTTGGCAATCCTTCTACGACTTTCTTAGCAACTGAGTAACACATGCTCCATGACTATTCAAAGCTCAAGGCCTCTACTACCCTACTTCTTACTACTCTTTGCCCTACTGCAATCTGGCTTATCTTCTCCTCTATCCACTGGAACAACTCTCACCACAGTCACTAACTATGTCATATTCCCTAAATCCAAGGAACACCATGGCAGAAATATTATTTGGATACCAGAAGGCCGTTCCTAGCCTCCTACCTTTTGCCTCCTGGTATAGAGACTGGAAGAGTAGATACTCACTTCACAGCCTCTCTTGGACATAAGGGGAACTATGTGATCCAGTTCTAGCCATTAAGATGTAAGAGGAAGTCACTTGGGGGCTTCTGGGAAATAAATTTTACTTCCTGCTAAAATTTGAGAGAAGGGTTTGCTGGTATTATTCTCCTTTCTTCCCACCTTGAACACGGATGTAACGCCTAGAAGTAAAGTAGTCATAATGTGGCCATTAAGTGAAGACAAACTGATGCTATCAGCTCAGTATGAAGAAGAAGATAGAAGAGGCCTGGATTCAGTGCACAGCTGAGCCCTTCAAAGAGCCCTGGAATCATCAAACTCCAGATTTCTTGATTCGTAAGAAAAATAAACTACTTACTTAAGCCATTGGTTCTGTGACTTGATATTAATTTATGGATTTGTTACTTGCAGCAAGAAGCATTCCCAACTAACGCAGATGCTTTTCACTCATTAGTTATTACTCATCTTCCAGTTGAGCACTTCTTATTTAGATCTTTTTTGTGGGTCCAGATATTTTCTACCCTCTCCTGGTTTTCTCCCTGCTTCTCTGCTGACTCTTTCTTAGTCTTCTCTGTGAGACCCTCTTCCAGGGCCCAGCCTTCATATGCTGAGGTTCCTCAGTGATCTATGTGAAGACCTCTTTTCTTCTCCCTCTATATACCTTCAGTTACCATCTGTAGGCTATCAATTCCCAAATCGTCAGCTCAGACCTCCATTTTGAGCTTTAAATCCAAATATTCAATTGCCCGTTGGCATCTTAAAGTCATTATGTCTAAAACTGACCTCAGCTTTACCCCTAAGCCTGTGATTTCCCCCTCCCGGTCATGGCGAATGGCACCACCACTACCCATTTAGGCCAGAACCCCAAGAGTTAGCCTGGACTCTTCTCCATTCTTTATGCCTTCCCTCCATGCCCAGTCACGAGTTCCTACAGAGCCTGTCTCCTAAATGTCCCTTGAATGCTTCCACTTATGTCCCCACCCAATGCTATTTTCCCAGGTCAGGCCACCACCACCTATAACCAAGATGACTGCACCTATCTCCTAACTGGTCCCCTTGTGTCCAGTCTTGACCTCTTTGATCAAGTCTCCCCTAAAGGGACTGTTCTAAAACAATATTTGATCACCTCAACTCTCCTGCTTAAAAATCCTCCATGGACCTTCTAATCCTTAAGATGGACAAACTCCTTAACTGGCTTCATGACTTCACCCTTTAGCCTCATGTCCCTCCTCTGCCTGACTCATAAGCTACACTCCAGCCACCCACATTTCTTTCAGTTCCTCAGCCCCAGTCAAGCCTTCACACTCTCTCTCCTGCAGGCCTTCGTACGTATTATGCTTACTGCTTGGAGCATTCTTCCCCCTCCTTTTTCTTGGTAATTTTTTCTTGTGGTTGAGATCTCATTTTCTATGGGAAGCCTTCTGTGGGAAGATACTTCCCCAGCATCACTTCTCTCTGGTCCCATAGGACCCGATATTCCCCCATCGTAGGACTTATATATTTCATGTTGTAACTTGTTTCATTTTTAGGTCTTCCTCTCTACATTGTAACTCATCTATCTCATTCCCATTTTGTCCTGAGCACCAAGTGTAGTAGGATGTGAATATTTAAATTTTCTTCAAGCCTTTCATGTGACTCTTCTTCTCTTTCATTTTTGCTCTTTCCATATTTAAGTTAGGAAAACTTTCTGGCACATAGTGGATACTAAATGTGACAGACACTGTGAGTTGACTATCCAAAAACCTCTCTTTTCTTCCTCTTTACTAACATAGCTCAGCTTTTACAGAGGGATACAAAATGCCCAGCTAATTACTCAGTTTCCCACCCTCCCTTATAGCTAAATGTGCCATGTGACACACTTAGGGCCAATGAGAAGTAACTAGAAGTCTTCTGGATAGGGGTGTGGGAAAGCTTTTGCTTCCCTAATTTAAAAAAAGTGCAGTAACTGACTGCCTCCGCTCTTCCCCATTTCCTCTTGCTCAGAACTCATACTCAAGGCCTGAAGCTGCAGCAGCTATTTTTTGAAGACAGAAGAAACTGGGTCTGTGATAACAGCATTGAGACAAAGTTCTAGCCTTGGGCCGCCTACCTCAAGACTTTTTATTATGTGAGAAAGAGAGATCCTGATTTAAGTTACTTTGGGTTAGGTTTTTTATTTCATACAGCAAAGCATGCCTAACTCATACACTTAAGGCCTTTTCTCAGCCCTCGAGCCTCTTAACTGCTTACAGTGTTTGATGCCCCAATTCTCTCAAGGCTTTACCTAGGTCTACGCAGGTGAGGCCCCATCCCCCATTTCATGAAATTGAAGAATAAAACAAACACATGATTTTGCCACCTAGAAGAAATAATGAATGTTTTGTTATATAAAACAGAACAGTGGTAATAAGCTTCTGTAATACCACCAGACCCAACTTATTCTCATTTTCTTCCCCCGTCCCCAGAAGCCACAGCTCTCACGAATTGTCTGTGTGCCTTTCCAGTCCTTTAAAATTATTTTTATATATAAATTTATATAATTATTTATTTATGTGAATTCATACAATCATTTAATCTATAAATAAGGATGATTTCATCTCATTTTGGCTAACACTCAGACCTCACTTCCTTTTCCTTTCTCTCCTTGCGTTAGTGAGGATCTCCATTGCAATCCTGATCAGTGGCGGATGTGGCAGGCGCTCTGGTCTTAAAACCAACGTGACTGGCAGTTCTAATATTTCACCAAAGATGATGAATTAGATAAGTCTTATCAGGTCAGGGAAGTTTCTTTTTATTCCTATTTGTTAAGAGTTGGGGTTTTTTTCCAGTCATAAATAGGTATTTAATGTTATTAAGCCCATTCAGTAAATTTTTTATTTCAGTTATTGTACATTGTACATTTATTTGATAATAACGGCTATTGACAATATTTCATAAAATTATTTCCCTGTACGTGTAATGTTTTAGATCATGACATTTTAAAGTTTTTAACATTTGATAAACATTTGTCAAAGCATTTACATTTTAGTTTGTCATCATTTGGTTGATGTGGTCCTCAGTTTCCAAGACTCATTCTGGCGGAAGCCAACTGCCGTGTCACGAGGACACGCAAGCAGCTCTCTGCAGAGGCCCATGTGAAGAGGAACTGAGGCCTCTTGCCAACCATGTGAATGAGTGTTACAGGCTGAATTGTGTCTCCCCCCCCCAAATTCATATGTTGAAGTCCTAACCCCCCAGTACCTCAGGATGTGACCTTATTTGGAGATAGGGCCTTTACAGAGGTAACCAAGTTAAAATGAAGTCAATGGGGTGGCCCTAATCCAATGTGACTGGTGTCCTTATAAAACGCGGAAATTTGGACACAGAGACACGCAGAGAGGGAAGACAATGTGGAAGAAACATAGGGAGAGAATGCCGTCTACGAGCCAAGCAGCGAGGCCTAGCACAGAGCCTTTCCTCAGCCTCGGGAGGAGCCGACCCTGCTCACACGCTGATTCCTTCTCGCCTCCGGAACTGAAACTCAGTACGTCTCAGTTGTTTAAGCGACCAACTGTTACAGCAGCCTGTTACAGACCAAATCGTGTCCCCTCTCCTCCCCCCAAGTCCATACATTGAAGTCCCAACCCCTAGGACCTCAGAGTGTGACTGTATTTGGACATAGACCTTAATGAGGTAATTAAGGCTAAATGAGGTTTTTAGGGTGAGTCCTAATCCGGTCTTACTGGTGTCCTCATAAGAAGAGGGGATTAGGACACAGACACACACAGTGAAGATCATGTGAAAACACAGAGGACAGTCATGTACAAGCCCAGGGGAGAGGCCTCTGAAGAAACCAACCCTGCCCTCAGCTTGATCTCAGACTCCAGCCTCCAGAACTGTGAGGAAATCAATCTGTTGGTTAAGGCCCTCAGTCTGCAACAGTTCATTACAGCAGCCCTAGCAGGCCACACAGAGGCACCTTAGAAGTGGACCCTCCAGCCCCAGCCCAGGCTTCAGACGACCACGAACTTGGCCGATAGCTGACTGCCAGCTCCTGAGAGACCTGGAGCCAGGACCACCCAGCTGAGCTGCTGCCAGATTCCCCAGCCACAGAAACTGTGTGAATTAATAGATGTTTGTTCTTATTCTAAATCACTAAGCTTTGGGGTAATCTTTGACATATAATAGATTAAAAAGAAATAATTAAATCAATAATAATTAATTCTATTTAATTGGTAAGGTTAGGAAAATACCACAGGCCATTCAGAGCTCAACTTGATATTATGAATACCATCTGATTTTGAGGCCTATTGTTTTAAAGAAATAATAAGCTCCACTATGCACTCAACTTTAAATTCTAAAGATATTCCAAACGTTACCTTCAGTTTCAGCTCACATGTATTATGCATAAAAAGGAAAGCAGGTATATTTTTTGATTTCTCAATGTAACTAGACAAATCAAAAAATTAAAGTAATATAAGTGGGGATCAGCAGAATTCTTTTTTGGCAATGTTTTTCCAGAATGACATTCCTCATTACAGGAGGAATGTAAGCATGAGGTCTGAACCAGACCTCTCTCTGTGCTTGTATATATTCTCAAGCAAGCAAAGGAAAAGAAAGGTCGGAGTGTCAAAGGTCAGCGTCGCAGGGTTGCCCACGGTACCTTTTGATGGCCACCAGCTCCCCAGATTCGTTACTCTTGCCCATCAGCACACTCCCATAGGTGCCGTCCCCCAACTGTCTCATGGTTGTGTATCGGTTCATCTTGGAAAAACAATGCAGCTGAAGTTGTTGGCTGAAATGACTTCTTTGATGAATATAAGTTTAAATGCTTCTTTATTGGTATTTGTTTTCGCCGTCAGACAGTTGTTGCTATACTGGTGACAGGTTTGTCATCATTAATCACAGGCTCTTCCCCAAGATTACGGAGGCTCATGAGATACAGCAATAAGCAATCTGGCAAGGAAACAGTGCCTCCATTCTTATGAACACCCTATAAAAAAACCGAAACAAGAATAAAAGGAATCCTCATTAAAGAATCTCTTCAAAAAATTTACTAGTAACCTACAGCACAGGGAAAAATTATATATAATATAAGTACCGATGTGTTAAACATTTGTCAGTAAATCATTTGTGCTATATGGAATGAAGTTCACATATAATAGACTGATAATACTCATCTGGTAAATGCTTCATTTACATACTACTGTGCTATTCAGTCCATGAATATTCAATAAATATTGGCTTAATGATTTGTATGATTCCTTTTTTTTTTTTTTTTGCAGGGGAAGATTCACCCTAAGCTAACATCTGTTGCCAATCTTCCTCCTTTTTTCTTCTTTCTTCCCCCCCAAAACATAGTTGTGTATGGCTGTAAGTTCTTCTGGTTCTTCTATATGAGCTGCCACGACATCATGGCTACTGACAGACAAGTGGTGTGGCTCCATGCCCAGGTACCAAACCTGGGCCACCAAAGCAGAGCACGCTGAAATTTAACCACTAGGCCATCAGGGCTGGCTCTGTTTGATTCCCTTTTTATTGAATATAATTTATATTATTCTAAATCAGACCTTGGAAAATCAGACATCTATATTATATCCATTCTTTGAGTCAATTTTTGCATCATATTAAATTTGGCCCATGATCCCTTAAGTGAAACTCCTGGGCTAGATATGTTTGGAGTCCAGGAATTTTCATATTTTTGAAAAGTAATATAGTGCATATACTATATGTTATGTGACACCTCCCAAGCACTATCTTAATGTACCTGCACAAAAATGTAGGAACAATATACTAAGTAAAAAAAATGAAGACTACAAATGGCCTCATGCCATTCAGGTCATGTTTTGTTGCAAATGAGTTTGCACAAATTTATTTTAAAAACTTCATCTTTCAGAGCTTTGTGAATTTTGAAACTACAGATAAGGGACTGTGGATCTGTATATCTTAGAACAATACAGGTTTCAAAAGGTTCTGATGCTATTACTAAGATTAAAGAAAACAAAGCACTAGCCTTATTGTCTACCTCATTACAACATTCAATACTTTCCTCCCAGTGTTCTGTCTTAGTTCCACATTTGAAAGAACTATTTCTCAATTCATACCTATTTACCATTCTCACTTTGCTGTTAAAGATCTCTATCATTGTCACAAGTCTTTATGCTTAGTTGCAGATGGTAATAAAATGGCACCATTAAAATAAATACTTTGTTTTAAAATGCCTTTTATAATTTGGTGATTCATTCAAAGATTATTTTTCTTTCACTGTAGCACTGTTTCATTTCCACAAAATAAAATACAATCATAGAAATTGCTTCTCTATGTTTTGTTTTTTTTGAGGAAGATCAGCCCTGAGCTAACTCTGCCAATCCTCTTCTTTTTGCTGAGGAAGACTGGCCCTGAGCTAACATCCATGCCCATCTTCCTCTGCTTTATATGTGGGATGCCTGCCTATTACATGCAGAAATTTAGGACCGACAAGCATATGTTGTAGCTGTCAAAGTACCTAAGACTTCCAAAATCAGGCTTTCTGGAGAAAGAAACAAACCTGCAGAGAAGGATGGTAAAACTGTGATGTTTCCAACAGGAATGGATTTGTCCACAGGAAACTTTGGAAGAACCCTGTGGGGCTTTTCAGTATCAGAGAGTGTGTATTAATTTATCATTATATTTTACTTTATACAGATAATAACCCCTTCAAGGCACATGTAAAATAATTTAGGCTGTCCTAACTCACTCTGTGGCCAATATCTTGAAAAAGAGATCACGATAGTGGACTCCAGTTCTATTTAGGGCTTCCTTCATTTTTCTCAGCTTAAGTCTGAGTAAATGGTCTTAACAAATGGTTCCCCATTTGCCTTAAATGAAGTTGTTTTTGTAAGTGATCTTTATATTATACAAAGACACGGATTCTAAATATTAAGGCATTAACGTAGAGAAGGGGATCCCTCTGCACGGTTCCTGATCAAAACATGTATTTGCTTTGCTTAATTTTTCCTTTATCTGTATAAAGAAATGTAATTTTGAAAGATCTTTTGGGTTGTTTGTTTTGTACTATATGCAATGATTAAACAAACCATGGGCTGAGGTATATTTCTTCTGATCATTTAGAATTTTATTAAATCGGTATTTTGCAATTTATTATTAACATGTTAAATTCTTTGAATTCCTTCCTAGCTACCCTATTTAAGGTGACAGAGACCTGTCTCTTTTAAGGAAATGTGCTCCCCGTAGGTTTACAGACTCTTTCTGGTTAAGTAACAATATAGAGAATATATTTGTCCAAAAGGCCATGATGTTCATCATATCAGTAAAATTGTAAAATAAAAACACAGGGCCAGCCCCAGTGGCCTACTGTTTAAGTTTGGCACACTTGGTTTTGGCAGCCTGGGTTCAGTGTCCAGGTCTGGAACCACACCACTAGTCTGCCAGTGGCCATGCTGTGGTGGTGGATCACATACAAAAAGAGGAAGACTGGCAACAAAGCAAATCTTCCTCAGCAAAAAACAATAAATAAATAAATAAATAAATAAATACACAGAAGGATTAAATGACCTATCAGTGATCAATCAGAGAATCAATGATGGAGTCAGTCTAATACTCGCATTAGCTTGAAGCTGTTTGGTTTTTCTAGTGTAGTCCTCAACTTCTAAACAACCCATTCTTACCAGCTGTTATAATCACTGATATAGTTAAAGGAACCACCCTTCTTTGCTCCCAAACCAAGCAGAATCTATCTCACAATGAAAGCTGTCTCCCAACTCAACTCTTCACCTTAAAACACCAGGATGCTAGGATGCTACTGACAAACTGTAATATGCACATGGTGCTCCCTAGTCTGACTAAACCCCAGGGCAACATCTGGCTCATCCTATACCTGGAAGGACAGTGTGAAAATAACAGGCCAGAAACAGTGAAGGGAAAGAGAGAGTCAGCAAGGGAGAAGGGAGTTTCCTTGGAGCTCCCCTCAGGAAAATTATTATGATTTTTTACCCCATCCTGAAAATTATTTAAGAAATTTAATAGGATAATAGCATCATCTTTTCTTTGCAAGTTTGTTGCATATGCAACAAATCATTTTCATGTTAATACTTAACTGAGGACAAGCATTGAGAGCCTGAGAGGTAGAAAGTAAGGTAGGCAAGTCTGGAAAAGGACATATTGCTTGAGAAGGGAACAAAAGAAGGAGCTGTCCAGGAGGGAACAGAAGTTCAGAGGTCAGAGGG